TATTATACGCCTGATTGACATCACGATACGAGAAAACTTCAGAAAAACTTAATTGAGAGAGATATTTTAAAAAGATATTTAAATACTTATTTTCATTTCTTCTATGTACATACCAATATTTTTCAATATAACCTTGATTACATGGTACGTTTATGTATTGTGCAGAGTGATCGGATAAGCCTAAGTGTAAAACTTTTGAGCTGTAATCTTTTATATTTATTATAATATTGTCTATGCAAGTTTTCGATTTTGTTGTTATCCTAGTTGGGTCATTTATTGTTAGTTTTAGGTTATATTTTAATACAGTATTTTTAAAAAGTGAACATTTAAGATTATTTTCAAGTAAATTGATATTAAAGTCACCAGCTATTATTACTTTTTTAGTTATATATTTGAACGTACAGTAATTCTATGTAATAACAAGTGCAATGTTTTTATAAATATTTCAAAATTTGAGTCTGGAGTTCTGTAACAGCAAACAATAATATAATTTAATTCTGGCAACTGGCATGGCTGTTCCATGTCCATGTCACACCTATGCCGGTAGTTGTTGAGAGCACTATGCTCGAGTTGTTGACGAGTACGTTTACCTGGGACAAATAGTCCGACTAGGTAAGTCCAACTTCGACCGAGAGGTCAATCGACGGATTCAACTCGGCTGGGCAGCGTTCGGGAAATTACGACACATCTTCTCGTCAGGTATACCTCAATCTCTGAAAACTAAAGTGTAAAACCAGTGCGTGTTTTCAGTGATGACTTACGAATTTGAGACATGGTCCTTCACTGCTGGCCATATGAGGACGCTCAAGGTCGCTCAGCGAGCGAGTCTCTCTGCGTGATAGACTCAGAAATAAGGATATCCGCAGTAAAACCAGAGTGACCGACATAGCCTAACGTATTAGTAAGCTGAAGTAGCAATGGGCCGGCCATATAGCTCGAAGAACCGATAACCGATGGGGAAGAAAGGTTCTCGAGTGGCAGCCTCGTACCGGTAGGCGTAGTGTAGGGCGACCCCCCACAAGATGGAGTGACGACCTGGTAAGACATGCAGGAAGTTGATGGATGCAGGGTGGCTCAGGACCGTGCTTTGTGGCATTACTTGGGGGAGGCCTATGTTCAGCAGTGGACACGTGAAGGGCCGTAATGATGATAATGATGAAGTAAATTACTAGTGGTCTGGTGCAGTACCAACGGCTTCAGGAAAACACCGCCAAGTTCCTGATTCCGGGCGGCTACTTTTCCAGAATTCCTTTACAGAAATACCCAATTTCGGCTTGACGTGGGATTCGAAGCCAGGACCACATGATAGGTCGTCGCGTTAACGACCACTAGACTTACGAGGCAGTCAATTAATTAATTTATAAAAAATATAATACAACGTAAACACCAGTATTCAGGTTTACCGCAAATTTCTACCATATAGTAAACGTCTAGCGAAAGTTAACTCTGCAACTTGCTGTTCGATGCTAGCTATATACCTATATATAATACGTTCTAGATACGACTAATTCTTAGTAGCGTGTGAGGTTAATTTGTTTTGCGCTCGGTCGGTCGATGTCGCTCTTTGGTATGCACTCGTAACCAGTTTTATGCGAGCTTTTTTTGCCTGCTAGTGACGGGTACCTTACGATTGGCCGGTTTGGTATTATGCGATAAATGGGGTAATGTAGATTATAATATCAATAAATTTAGCTAATAAAGGTTTTCTCGCACCGAACGGCTGGCTGCCTTCGTAAACAGATTTCTTTAATACTAAACTCTGAGGAAGATTTTGATAACTTCTATGAATTTTCAAAAAAAAAATTCACAATAATTGTGACAAACGAGCACACAGTCCACCTAATGGTACCCATTGTAACCCACATCTGTCGACGATTTAGAATCTAAATGCCTCCTTAAAAATAAAAGAAATGTTTTATGGGCAGAGTTACGCTAAAATAATGTAGCCCACACACGGATCAAAAACTAGTTAAGTTTTGGCCGTTGAAAGGCAAGGGGGACCTGCCGCCGGGCAAATTGTGCCTGGCGTGGAACTAATACACCATGTGGAACTGTTCATACAAATACCGTCGAAGAATGCGCTAGAGATATTATAAGTTCTATTGGTTGAAACTTTGTTAGTCCCAATTAGCTACACTATGGGTCTGAAACAAATCTCCAGTTTTAAGTCAAACTTTACAATGTCTAATAACATAATATAGTCTAGACCTGCTCCAGATTATTACTTGTGTCGTGGAGGCAGTTTAAGTTAACAAAAAAACAATAAAACGAACGAACGAATAAGCTCCAAATTTCTAAAATATTTTTTAATTGCACCATAGAACATGCTTTAGTTTAGAATGGGTCTGTTATTGTTTCCCATTATGTATATTATACAGTTCTATTGTAATATTTACTTTTCAAAAGTGTCAAAAACATCTCATTTCGAAACAACAGTAAATTTGTAAAAAATAACATTTGTCTTAATTATTTCTTAAATTTACGCGAACACTACACATTGAATAAAACTATTTATAAGGATTTTATCGCGTTAAATTAACTTATTTTTAATTCCCGACGTTTCGGGAGCTTTATAGCAACCCATGGTCACGGGGAGGACTGAGATGTTGTTGTCGTCCCAATGTCATAGTTAGCCCGGATACCTTCAGTTTTTTTTTTCATAACTGACCCCACCTCACCCCCGTGACCATGGCTGCTGTAAAGCACCCGAAACGTCAGGAATTAAAAAAATAAGTTAATTAAACGCGATAAAAGCCGTATAAATAATTTTATTCAACATTTGTCTTGTATATAATATATTTTATTCATGTTTAATATATTTAAGTATTTAAGGCACCTGTCACTCATTGTTCAACACGACATCGCCATAGATTGAGGATCAGAGAACGCTAACTTTAAGGTTAGTACAGTAAAGTTATTGAATGACAATAAATAAATAAAAGCCTTCTCGTAAAAACTAGGACAAAGTAAATAATGGGAAAACTGGTTTTTTTACACAGGTAAATATGTTAATCATACTAATATATAAAACTAATGACAATAGTTGCCCAACTTTACATCATAGTCGCAGCTTTCGTTTCCGAGGATTTTAAAGTATTTATGAGTTTAAATACTACGTAAAAAATTAAATACTAAAATAACACACAAAGCGCTTTCATTAACTCGTACTTTACATAATATATCTTAAACTATAATACATACTATTAAAAACCGGTTAAGGTTTATCTTAAATATATATTTTTTTAATTGTTAATTAAACTGTTACTTTAAAAAGTTATTTTCCATATTCATACATTGATTAATTTAAAATAATTATTAGTAAATCGCGCAGTGTCACACTGTCAAATAAGAGATTAAAATTATTTAACATGTATTATTTACATTTTACAATCGGAGACAATTTTTTAAATGAAATTCTATTTAATTAAAAATATCTACGGTATTCCGTTATGAGGTAATGAACCTTACCAGAGTGTACGTCGCAAAAATGTGGCATATATTGAAATAATAGTAAGGCTTAGTATACTTATAGATGTGTTTAAACAAGGATGTGTACAAAGTACACACGGTACGCCGGCAAACATATCACGGCAATAATCTTTATGCAAACAAGGGTTTTGATATTCATGAAACACTGGTAGGACATCAAACGTAGGTATTAACTGATTATGTGCATGTACAGATTACCTATACATGTAAGTATGTAGAATAAATTGTTCTGACTGTAGATATGAATAAGTAAGCAAATACTGAAGAGTACTTGGTAGCTTAAGAAGAAGAAGGTGCTGCGGTGACTAGGCAAATCTTCACACCGGGAGACTCATGGCTAGCAGTAGATTTTTAAGGATTAAAAATGAAGGAGAATAAGGAAGAAGAATTAAAAAAGAATAAAAATGACACCGTGACGATCGTAACGCAATACAATCGGAAAACTTATAATTTGTTTTGGATAAAGCACAACTAATTGCCTGTGTCCAGAAACGTCTTCTGCTCCGTTCAACGCTTTGTTTGTCAAAAGCATTCGTAGGCGCGCACACAACAACTCACCAAAGATTCATCGTAATCGGATGGGTATAGAAGCGCCCACGCATAGATATAAGAATGAAGCTGTTATTTATATTTCTATGCGCACACGGGACAAACAATCGAAATGTTCATTTTTATAAACACAAGAGGAGTATTCATCCGGTACTTACTTCAATACAAACATGAAAAACAGGCTATTGTAAGTTGTTGAACCTATTGTTTCATATTTTTTTCATGCACTTTCTGCACTGTCGAGCAAGTCAAACGAAAACGAAACTTTTTTTTAAATATAACTAACATTTTAAAGTAATATAACCATGTTTAATTAAAAAAAGTTAACGTTACAGCTGTTATATATATCACACCTGCTGTACACAAGACACACCTTTTTCATTTCTGAGAGAAATTAAGTGCAAGGAAGTGACCGCCACCCTGCGCATGCTGCCCCAATGTGTGGAACTTCAAATGTGTTCAAATTATTTTGTTTTAATTTCTCAGACATAAAAACTCCCTCACAATGTGTACCTTCACTACGAAGAACTTGGTAAACTGCAATTAAAATTTTTATTGATACCGGCGGAGATCGAACCCGGGTTGCTCGAGTTTTACGAGCGCTTAGAGCCGGAATACAGCATTTTGTTTAATCAATAAAACCATGTTTATGACTTTGTAAGACATACAGGAATCAATTGATGTAGATGGCTACGGACCGTGTTTTGGGGAATTCCTTGTGGGAATTCCTTCCCTCTGATCAGCAGTGGGCTTATGTCCTTGGACTACCCATTATATCTTAAATTCTACCCACCAAGTATTACATCGCGTAAAAGAGGAGAAAAATATGCGAATTGTAGGCATTGCTAATTTACACATATATATTCTACGCACAGATTGAGAGACAGAGGTAACATCATTGTTTTCAGATGTGCCAATGGGACCATTGTTCAAGTAATAATTTTACCGGCTTTTGCACTTACCAAGTAGAAGTAGGATAAGCGGATTCTGGAACTGCTCGATATATTTCTTCCAAAGTGGGTCCTGCTCTTTGACCTGGAACTCGTTGGGCCCCACGAAGTTCATGCGATCGTTTGCTTCCCGCCATGATAGACCACGGCGGACGTCCACGTGCAGTCGATCCGCCACCTGATTACAAGTAATTATATTATTTGACGGCTCGTTATCTCAGTAGCCTCGTGCCGCGGGTTCATTTCCCGCATATTGTTTTTTTTTTATAAGCCACTGCTCGACTTTAAATCCTACTTGGCGGTAAGATTTGTAACAAAAGCCTATTCACTCTTGCCTTGAAGACATCCGAATATTCATCGGACCTTTCCGTCAGACAGTCAGTTTGACAGACGCTGGCAAACTACTCCACTCCTGTGTTGTAGCTACGCATTACTAAAGGCGAGGTATACCGTTTAGTTCTAATGCGTGGAATATTCACAGCAAAGGGCTGTGGTTATCCGATGGTGGAAGGTAAGGTGGAATTCAATCATGTAATTCCTGCACATACTCACTAGAATGTATCTGAGAGTCTGGCTACTCTGCATCCGTGCTCGAAGCTGACAAGATTGTTTATAACCAAATCAAGGTCACCAATAAGCATTTTAGCGTCAAAATAAACTAGATATTTCAAAATAAAATATTTATTCTTGAGTAATAAACAGAATGCGGACCTGAGCCCTTAGTCCAAGTTTTCGACAGTCAGGTTTACGTATCGACATCGACTAAAGTGTATAGAAATATTTAACAGCGCCCCTTGCGTAGGCACATGGAACTATGTATGGTCATACTAAGTTACACAACGGCGATACGAATTCAATACATCAGAAAATTCATGGAGGCAAGTAAGAGATGCAGGAAGCAGCGTGATTTGTGACATTCCTTGGGGGAGGGCCCATGTTTATCAGTGGCCTTGTAATGAGTTGTAATGATGATAATGATTATTTTAGTGTTCGAGTAGACTGTTGCGGCGCTGTCTTGTCTTGTGCCAGACAAGTTCTTGGTTCCTGACATTGCTCGTTGACTCAAACTCTTTGCTAGAGATCAACGTTTGTTGCAGTCAGCCTCCCCAAACGAATATAACGTTCAAGACATAAGGGAAGAGGCTACTTCCTTTTTTTATTAGGAAATGCTTTTTGTTTTAATAGAATAATGCGACAAACGAGAACACAGTCTGATAGATAGTAAGTGGATGCTGTGACTCATAGACACCTACATCAATCCACGATTAAAAATCGAAATATTGGTGTGTTGCTACCTCTGAGGGCCAAGATAGAATACGTCGTTACCAGTCACCATACGGAACACAGCGGCATGTGAGAGCGTGCTCCTTTCCCGATCGAGCCAAACCAATCGTGCAATCACATACGAAAGAAAAGAGAAAAAGAGAAAGAGAAACATAATATAGTTTGCAGCGTGGCTCTACTACCTTAAACTTTTCCTCATGGAAGGCAAAGTTAGATTACATCGAACTTGTACCGATTAAAACCTTATGCTGCTCGCTCTTTAATGTACATTGGTAAGGTCATGGAAAGGCTGCTAGACTATCGTACTTGTAACCGTGGACCTCAACGTTATTGCCATTAGGCTAGTTTGTGGCCAACAGTCCTATTTATAAATAAAGTAATATTAAACTTGTACGCAATAACAAGTGTAGAACAAACAAATGACGTAATAACCACCGTGCAAGTAACGAGAAGCCGTGAAACTTCAGCGACAGGCTATTGTTAGGTATGAAGTTGGAAAATTGAATGTCATTATGTACTATGTACACATATGTCGAATATTAAACTGCTTTCGGTATTAATATAATATTGTATGCAATATTTTTATATTATCAAAGATATTTATCTTTTATATGGAATAAAGATGGCAAACAAGCATACAGTCCAACTGATGGTAACTGGATGCTGTGGCCCATAGACATCTACATCATCTTTCTGAGCACAGGGCGTCGTGTGAAAATTTGTTGGCCTGCTTAGAAAATGATTACGTCAAACGTCATTAAACAACTGACATATTGGGTCCGATTGCGTTTCTCTTCGAACCTAAATAATGACAGACTAAAATTTTACTAAATAATATGTCCATGTCCTTAACCTAAAGCTATTACGTTTCTGTTAAAATAAGTTCACGTCACTAAATTTGAACTTAATTCTACGTCTATGGAAATGGACATAATTACGTTCGTTTGCCGCCGCAAATGGCAACACCACACCACTAGTCTGTCAAGTTGTCAAGTCTGTCGTGGTTATTTTTTGTGTGAGTTTTCGCAAGAATTATTGAAATTTTAATAAATATGGATACAAAGAAGCCAAGAATGAAGAAAGAACAGCAACAATATTTATTAAACTTCTTGATGAGGAATCCGGAAACGGTTAACGGTATGTTTACAAAATATTTCATGTGAATTTTTGTTTACTAAAACAAAAATTCACATGAAATATTTACACTACTAAGTGTAAATTGTTATATTTTAATCTATCGATTTACCCTACTCATCCATCCATCTATTTACAGAATAGCAAGTTCATTTTAAATTTGATCATAATCATATAATTGCACTCTAACTTATCCTATCTACAAGCATTCCTGTGTAAATTCAGTTTGGTAGTCATATCGCATTGCAACATTTGTTATTACATTTACAATCATTTATTCACTTTAAATTATAACATAACATATAATATAAATAATTGGCATCCAATAAAAGATGATGTTTTCATACTTATCTATACTTCATTTGTCTTTATTTAACAACAGGAAATTGTCAGTTGCCGGCTACCAAAAGATTGTGGACTGAACTGACAGAAGCCCTCAATGGAATGGGAGGTGTTCGTAAGACACAGAAAGATTGGTTAGTTAAATTGTCCTAATTTTGTACTAAATATATCAGTGAACTCTTAAAATTTAAATCATAACCAACCAACCAAATGGGTAAAGTAACCCACTTGGATATTAGTTGTTGTTAAATGTATAATCTAAATTTTTCAGACATACAAGTTATTAGCACGCAGGGCGAAGGCTAAGATGCGCACACAGCGTGCATCTATGCAAAGGACTGGAGGTGGTCCTCCAGCAGATATCTGCTTGACAGAACTGGAGAAAAAAAACAATAAATATAGAGGGGACATCAACTATATATGGATTGCCTGGAGCTGTGGAAGCTGTAAGTTATTGGCATAGTTTTTTGTAAGCTCTATATTAGATTTACTTATTTTTTCATGATTGCATCAATCATCACAATTGTGTTAATTTTGAAAACTACATACATTACATAGCATTAATATTATAAAGATGTCCTTTTATAATATGTATGGAAAACCTTGATCCTTGACTTGTACATTTCTTACAGGGTATTATTATTGTCCCAGGGACTCCACAGCCCATTGTTGATGTTCCGGATCCTTATGTTAAACAAAACATAGTCATGGTGAGTGTGTTATGGCAATGCTTGTAGCAGTCGTGATATTTATTACCAGTAATGGTCTGATGTGAAGTTGATTTTATTTTGACTACAGGTTTTGGATGATACTCAACTGCCAAAGCCCAAGCAGACGTTGATTTTAGACGCAGTAACAGTTGTGAGTATATTTTACCTATTCACAACAACATTATTATATACATATAAATAAGATTTGTTAGTTTTATAAATAAGTTTAAACAGTGCCCTTATTATGACTTGAGTTCTACTGATTAGATTTTGATGTAGTTTTCATTAAGCGTTATGGTCAATTTTGGTAATTATAGAATAACCGCATTATTAATGGTATGAGTAATAAATACTGAAGTCATGTTAAAAAGAGTTTTATACATAATGGTATTCTGAAATTGACTTCATAGTGGTACAATTGTATGAATTTATCCTTGTAATTGTACTATGCAGGATATACATTCAGACACTGAAGAAGAGCCCCCGAAGGAAGCGGCTATGGTGGACGCGTTGACACCGACGGCGAGTCACGATGGGGCGACTGTCGTCACATCAATGGCGACGGACGCGTCATCAATACCGACAGCATCTCGCGTTGGTCGAATTGCGGTAGACGCGTTGATGATGCCAGCGGCAAATAGGGATCTGGCGACGATCAGTTGCAGTCGTGAACACATCGTGGCCTCAACCCCTGAACAGAGACTGGAGGACGGCGTGGTGCGCAACACTCCGCGCCTCGAGCGCCGCAACGTGCGTCGAGCAACGCCCCGTATGCTCGTGCCGCCAGCCGATTCAGCCACCCCGCAAGAAGATGCCATGATAGCGGCTTTAAGGGAGGGAGCCCAAGCGCAGATGGCGCTCGCCAATGCGCAAACAGAGGCCGCTCGGTATCTTGGCGATTGCATAATGCGTGCCGCTACCATGTTCGTCGAAGCGATCAATAACAATAAATAAACTATTTTTTCGAAATAAATTTTATATTTAGTAGTTTTATTATTAATTCTTTAATTTAAATCTTTAATTAAAACACATCATGCAAAGTATTGTCTTGTGATGTTATTTCGAATAATTCTTGCCACATTTAAAAAATTCATATCCCTGGGAGGATCATCTGCTGGCCGCAATCTGTCTTCGAGTTCCAATTCATCTGGTAAAGGTTCATTTCTCTTAATTGCCACGTTATGGAGAACAACTACAGCTGCTATTACATATTTTAGATGCCTTCACGGGGTCATAATGCAACGTCCTGTGCTTGTGAATGCATCTAAATCTTGTTTTCATCACTCCAAAACATTTTTCAATAAGAACCCTCATTTTGGTATGCGCTAAATTATATCTAGCCTCAGGTGTATTTTCATCCGCATCAGCATACGGGGTCATCAGCCAAGGCAGTTGGGCATATCCAGAGTCTCCTAGAAGCCATTCACCAGCTGAAACTCCGTTAACATAATTGGTTTCCAATAATTGGCTCAAACTGGATCCTTGCCAGACCGCTGCATCATGTATTGATCCAGGAAAAGTGGCATTGAAATGAATTATTTCCATCTTTGCATTACATACAAATTGGCAATTAAGACTATAAAAGCCTTTGCGATTAAAAAATAATCTCGCTGGCACAAGTGCTGTGTCTTTTGGGCGAACAATG